TAAATTTTATTTAAACCAGCATTATTATAATATATCTTAATATATCATAATATAAGATAAGTGATCTTATAATTTTTCAACCTTCTAGGCTTTTGGCTATTCTAATACTTTATTAACTGGTGTTTTTTCTATCTATTATCGATACAGATTGCATCAAGGAGATTTAGCTGTTTTTTAAATCTATTTTTTGTATATTAACCTTACTAATATTACTCACAAACATTGATAATAGAAATAGATCTAACCAATCATGTTCATCTCCTTTTTATATCAATCGAAGCAATATTAATAATAATATTTAATTTATAATTAATTATAATAAAAATATGTTTCAATTAATGAATATTTGATAACTCAATAATAAATTTATTATGCATCTTATATAAAAGGGAATAGATTGTTATTTTTGGTTTTATGAATACACATAAACTTGAAATTTGATCCCATTTAATTTGAATGCACTAATCTCTCATATTCAGATTGCAATCTCTTTTCAGTTGCTTTGTTAGCATTTTTACAAAGAATCTAAAAAATATAATTAAATAATAATCACTTATAATCTTGCTGAAATTCCCATTTATTCTAACCAATTTCCTTAGGTCATAAGTTCTGGAACCTTAATTCCATCAACTTTAAGTGCTGCTTATTCTAAAGCCATAAAATTAACATATGCACTCAAATCACAATCACCAGGTTTATTTAATATATCATTTTTATCCATCAATTTATGTCTTTAAATAGCTCTTACACTATCAGAAAATGCTCTTTTCTCACCATAATCAATAATAAGTGCTGCCCCTCCAACTTTAGCAATTAATTCTGCCAAAGAATTAGCTATTACTCCACTTTAAGGTGATATTTCAATAGTATCACCTTCTTTAATTAGTTTTTTAATTTCTGGAGAAAAATATTTATCTGGATTCAGAATTTTTTAAACATTTTAATTAGGACCATTTGATAGAATAAATTTAAGTGTTTTACCATCTTTATCTAATCCTACTAATCTTTCACACCAATGTCCTCCAGAAAATTCAAATATATTAATTGGTAATGCATCAAAAAATTCATGTGCTATTATTAATACTGGATCACAATTTAAACCCTCTCTTGTTTCTTCATATAAGAAGTGCTCATACATTTTGAACCATTTCAATTTTATTTCCTCACTTTCAAATTTCTCTACTTTCTAATCATTATATTCAAATTTAGGGTATATGTTGTTTTTTTATAATTGTTTTAAAACAGCTTCCTATTACTTTTTACGCATGTAATCACTATACTCAACATATGAATATTAAATATTCTCAAGCAGGTTAAATTAAGCAAATACTCTCAAAATGTTTGAACTCAATGTACCTAATCCTGGTCCAAATTCTAGAATATGCATTTTTTATTGTGTAGGTCTAAAGTTACTATCTAATACACCAATATGTTGGAAGGTATTCAATAACCATATTCCAATTAACTGTTGATTTTATAAGATATTTCATTATACTTCATTAAACATTTATGAAATCTCTACAGAAGTCACAAAATCTCCATCTTTATTAAATACATCTTATTTCATGTAATACCCAAACTTTTCATGTAAAAGTGCCTGATGCCAAAATCTTGGAAATGAAATTGCTCCTTTTTCTACAATTTCACTTCTTATTATATTTATTAAACTAGCTTGCTTAATATCAATTTCTTTTCCTACAAATGAACAGAATTATTTAATTAATTTCATTAAATATAAAAAAAATAATATTGGCTATTATTTTTAATCGAATAATCTAACTTATCAAAGTTTCTTGATATGAGAGAAATTCTTTGGATTTTTAATACCTTTATAAATTTATTAACGATAATGAAGATGCCAATTATGTTGAACAATCTTTGAATTAAATATGTAATTAATTGCATATTTCTTAACAAATATTCGACTAAATTTAATAGAATTAAGTTTACCTCAAAATTCGAAAAGTTTGATTGAATTCTTCCTCTTCTGGGTCTTCTGATTAAGTTAATAATCCACTGAAGATGCGTATATTAATTAATTTCTATTTGTAGACTGTGATTCTTTCTAAAAATTTGACTACCTTAAGCTAATCTCCCAAAATTTATTAACACAAAGCTTGATTTTTTGAAGCAAAAGTAATTATAGCCTTACAGTAGTTCTTAGGAATGTTTTTGGTGTCTTTTTATTCTTACAATGACATTCCTTTTCGTTTTTGAATATTTAATTTAACTTATGGGCATTTATTAGTAATTGATCTTGGTGTACTTTACGATATCTGTAATTATTTTTAGAAATCATTCAATATTGGAGTATTTGTAATGTCTATTTAATGTTTTCCTAAGTGCACCTACTTATTTAATAGAGATTATACCAGAAATTCATTGATTGTATACTACAGTACAAATGGATATTATGGAATAAGCTAATTTTAACTGTGATGTTGAGCTATCTACAGCTTATTCAGAGCTTAAAAGAATTTACCAACCACTTTTGAATAGGTTGATAAAAAGAGTTGGTTTTCTATCAAATCCTTCCTCTCATTCAGTTTATAAGGTAGTGCTTTAGAGATACTCAATGGAGTTTGGATAATTTGTTCCTCCTCCTTTACTATACTATTTCTCATTGAACAAATCTTTTTTATAATTTACTAACACAATTTATTAATTTTTTATGATAATAGAAAGAATCTTTTTTAGATTGAATATATTACCTATAAACTTATAGCATATTTTCTTTCTTAATGTTAATACAATTCTTATATAAATATATAATTTATTACTTAATAGTGTAGAAGTAACAAAATAAGTTAAAAAATTAATACTTAATTAAAAAAAATATTTATTATTTATGGAAAAATATTCATAAGGAAACTCATTATTTAACTAGGAATTCAAACTTAATTTAATTACTAATCATCAATTCTTATCCTAAATAGTTGAAATTTTATTATTTGTAAGTATATTTTCCTAAATCTTAGGATAAAGACTTATCAAGGAAAATAAATTCTTAAACTTCAATTAATTTAAAAATTCAAATAAGTAGGAAAATTTGAAATTCAAAAGAATTTTGAGGGATGATATATATTAATATTAAGAAAAAACCTGAATTAACTTTAACGAAAACTCCTTGAAATATAATTATGGAAAACATTATTGAAAAAGCTTAGCATCTAATGTTTAAAATATTTAAACAATAAAAGGAATATTTTTCAAAAATTATATAGAAATAGCAAAGATTTGTTCTTAAAATTCAAAAATAGGAGGATAAAATAAAATCATTTATTTATTTACAATATTCTAATTCTACTACAAATAAAAAAAAATTAATTAAGTGCCATAGTTAAAATGTGTATTTCTATCTTCTCTTTACTTAAGCTAACAAGAATGCTTTTATAAATTTTTATTGCTTAAGTAAATTGATTTCTATCCCCTTACGTAACTATCAAATTTTGATTAGATAAGAATTATTGATAATTATTGTAAATAATTCATAATAGAAATTACAAAATGGTTCAGTTACTATAAATAGATAAACTCTTTGTGAAATTAAAAGTAATTAAAAACCAAATAGCATCACTATCCCTTAGATATATTTAAGGCTAAACTTTTATCTAAACTTAAATATGATATTTCAGATCAAGTTTCAAGTATGGAAGTTTTCATTAAATTCTAAATTATTCTATTTAAATTGTTTATCTTAGAATAATTCGAGTTTCAAAACAAGTTTTGAAATACTTCTACATTTTTATTGCTTATTACTAATTAGATCATATAGACAAACTATTTATGATTAATTATAGCAAATTAAATATATTGATTACTTACTAATTTCTACAAATCTAGAATAACTGCAAAAGTAACATTGTAAAAATAAGATTAATATATTTTATATATAATTTATATGTTGAAAAATTGAATATTGTTAGATCTAAACTATATTAGTAATTAATATTGTATGACGAAGTATAAGTTAAAAAATAAAATAAAATTTTAGTAGTGATTTGAATATTTATCAATAAAGAGTTATGTGATGCCATGAAAAGATTCTACAATTACTTCAGACAGTAAAGAATTTTCAAATAATATTCCTATATATTAAAGAATTGAGTAGGATTGATTAAAAGAAATGTTTTATACTGTATTTTACAAATTATATACTCATGGTAACAATAGTTTTGGTAATTCATCAAATCTTAGATAAAGATTTAAAATAAGGGGTAATCCTTAGATGATACCAAACCAAAAGAAAAGGTTTCCAAATTTAGTTCCTTTAATTCTCTTAGTCCAGACCATAACAGGCAATTATATCATCATGAACATAATCATGATAGGAGTTATTTATTTTAAACTGACTGCTAAAGTGTATTCATGTAATAATGCTGAAAATAGAAATGTTGCTAATTAAGCCTTTTTAACTCCAATACCAAATTCAAAAATTAATTCTAAATAAACATGTCTATAAAGAAATTCATAGACTGGTCTATTCCAATTTCTATTGAATTCTTCAAAGTCAGTGGAATTCCACCAATCTGTATAGAATAGACGATCACCAAAATGTGTAATTTCAGCCCAAAAATTACAATAATTTTCAAATACCATATTGAATAATGTCAAACATAAAAAAATAAGAGGTAAAGTCATTTAAAAGATTGAATCAACTAAAGAATGCTAATTGATATTCTATATAGTTGGATATATGTGATTAGAAACAATCATATATCCCATCATAAGCATAGCCATAGTATTCATGAATTTAACAATAACATATTTCCAGCGAATTTAACTTGATTATGGATATTGTGGTTCATATACTAAAACAGGAGTCATTATAAATTTTGTGAAATTCCTCAAATTGATATTATTAGGATAAGTAAAAGGATCATTACTCTTAGGACATCCTTAATCTATCCATTCTCTTCTCATTTTATAATTAGTCATAGTGTAAGAGTGCATTTTAAAGAAGAAAACACAGGATTAAAATGTTACAAATGCACCTTAAGGAAGATACCAATCTCTTGTCAATACTAAGTAATGAGCATAAACAAACATGCACACTTAACTGAAATGTTATGTGATAAATATTAACATTTTAGGCATATTCATCATAGCTAAATATTGAATTAACAATGCAATATGACTCCAAGCATAAAACTTAAATAAATAAATTATTATTCATACTAAAGGCCATGTAACAATGCACATGAATAAATCTCTTCTCATTTAATTATATAATGATGTTTCTATTAATTATCCTGTCTTATAATAAGACATTATTGGATTGATAATGAAATAATAGAATGCCACTACATAAAGCATGTTGTAAAAGCCAACAAACTTCGTTCTATTCAACTCAGAATCCTTATCCATATCATCCAAAAGAGACACTCTATTTACAAAAGCATGTTTCCTCAAATGCTTAATATTTGCTTATTTCTAAATATTCTACCCATCAGGAGTAGAAGTCCCTGAACTAACCATTTCCTTTATCTCTGTATTTATTTTCACTTTTTAACGCTTCATCAATAAGATATATATAATTAATGATATATATATTAATATATCAAACCAACACATAATAGCTAACTATAATTGGAACTCCATGTAATAAACTAAACCAAAAATATATTAATCCTATTCTAGTATTCTTAAGGAATCTTAATGCCATCATTACTGGCACCTGTAACAACATTATGAAAGTCATAAAAGGAGTGAATTATCGTAAAGCTGCAATCAATATTATCTCATGAATCAAAGCTGAAAATGTAAATGTTAACACTTTAGACCAAATTCGAGGTACTTTCCACTCTTATAGCTATAAATAAACATGTGTATGCAAAAAAGCATAAACTACTGTATTCCATTTTGCATTAAATTCTTCAAATGTTGTTGCATTCCACCTAATTATTCATTATATTTAATACCAATCATGATAGAATTCTCTATCCCCAAAATACGTTATTTCAGCTAATAAATTTAATATGTTTTCAAAAGTTAAGAAGAATAGTACCATCCAAAAAGAAGCTAGTGGAAATAATAGCAATATTGTTTAAAGAATCTAATCTGAAGTTCCAATAATAGCTGGTTCAATATGTTTAGCTATAATAACTGCTCCAAGTATATTAAAGTAAGCTATATTGAATAACTTAGCTAAACAATAAATTAATCTGATTTTTTTTGTTTTTGGATAATCATGATAGAAAACCAAAGCAGGAGTAATCATATAAATAAAGAATTGCCATAAGCCAATAGGTTTTTTACAATTTTTAATATAAGAAACTTCCTTCATAAATCCAATACTAGCCATGGCACCTACAAATACTCCAGGTATAAAACCCAATTAATATTGAATGATAAACCATGGAAATATAATAAACGGTAGAGAAATAAAAAAAAGTAATAGGATTTTGAATCCAAACTTATGTGCAAAGTAAACAGTGTACGGATAAGTGAATGACTTATATTAGTAAATATAATTTACATAAACAGCCCAAATTATCATTAAAATGCCATCTCTCTTTACTGCAGAGATAGTTGGTGAATTAGCGAGTATTTTACCTAATTAATTGAAATACATCAGATCAATTAAGTAATAGATTCCTAACATATGTGCATAATAATAGAATCCATGAAATTTAGATTTAGACAACAGTGAATGATCATCCATATCATCTAATTAAGATACACGATGTTGGTAAGTATAAGGTTTCATAATGATAATAAATAAATTTTCATTAAATTTTTTTGAAAACTAAATCAAAAAATGTTTTTGGTAAGACTGCTTTAATATGTCTACCTATTATAATTAATTTCATATCTTATATCTCATAAATCTCACAAAAAGAATATGATAAATTTTACCTATTTTTTTAGCTAATCGTAGGATCATTTCAATTTATTAAGACTTTATATATATAAAAAATATACCTCATTATTTTTATTTCCTCTTAAAATTGCATTAGTTGGGTACACAATCTAAAATAGTAAGAAATGAACATTCATAGACTTAACTATTCATATTCATTATGTTTTAAAGTACCTTTATATTAATGCTAAATGATTAGAATTTCTTTGGAGTGTCTGTTCTTGGTAGAAATAAAAAGTGTTTATAGAAGTATTCTATATATGTTTTTTAAATATAGGAATTTAAACAAACCTTTTTGAAGATATCTTCAAATTCTTTGTGCACTATTTTTTAAAAATAAAATTTATTATTTTTTAATAGTCAATCTCCACTTGTTTAGTAGAATATTAGTTAATCTTGTTTTCTTAATTGAAGTTTGGATTCCCTATCACTTAGAAGACCTACTTTCTTCAATTCTGTTACAACTTCTTATCCATGTTACACAACTTCAATAGGAATTCCAATAAGGTCATTTTTGAACGATCCTAAGATGTTCATTGTGCTATAGCATACCTATTTCACACGCTTCATAAATAAATTAATATGCCACAGTATCTACTCCAGCACATCTACAATTTATCAAACGCATTTGAGGTTGAATTTAATAATCACGTAATTATGGTCTCTATTTTGCATATTCTATTCCTACCCAATCAAAGAATAAACTTTAAATTGGACAAATGCGTTCTTTTGATTATTCTATTTAAGGCTCTTCAAATTCTATTGTATCTGGATCAATGAATGTCATTTTATTATAAAAATTGATTGCTATTTTCACGCAATCTCCAATCAAAATTGGTTATATGTTCATTACTTAAGTTACACTCTCAAAATTATGTTTTGTTTATTCTCTTGCAATCCAAATTATTCTCTTAGAATTTGTAGGTAATACATCAAATTTATATTCACTTCTAAATTTTCGATTATATTTGAATGCTATTGTTATACATTTCCCACTTTATCCATTTAATAATTCTGCAATTATAGTTCTATCCCATCTAAATAATTTCTTTGTTTTAGTACTATCTATCCAAAAACTTTATTACAAAAAATCACTATTCTTAAATGAAAGTATATTCAAATGTGCTTTTATAAAACGATTATCTAAATCTTCAAGCCATTCTTTCAAAGTTGAATGAAATCCTACATACCACCTTCCTGAAACAAGAATTAAATTTGTAAAATCTGCAATCAAAAATGCTAGGATTGTTCTTCTTATTCTATCTTAACCTTATTTTATAAAGAGAAATTGAGTTAGTTTATCAGATGCATCTTTTAATTGTAGAACTCGAGCCATCATTTTTGGTATTGTTGCCTTCTTGCTTTCTTTTCGTTGCATAATATATTTATTTATAAATCATTTTCAAACCACAATTACAACATATTCACAACCATATTTTAATATCACTTTTTAAGAACTTTTAATTATTTAAATCAATCTTAGTAAAGAATAATTAATGATTATTTTTAATTTCTCATCCTAAACTATTTATTTTATATAATCCAATTAAAAATTTATTTCATTTATTTACTAAGTAATTGCTATCAATTTTTATTATCTAATAAATATTAATTAAAAATAAACATCTATATAATTAAATTTATTAATATGTAAAAAACGATTTTAACTTTGTTAATTGTTATGTGTACAACATTACAAGTGCAAGAATTACAATAAGCTAACAAATAATTTGATAAACTATCTTAAGATTCACCTGTAGGAAAATTCTTGATGGATTTAGCTTAAATTCATACAGAAGTATAGGGACCATTAGATGATTTAAAAGAAACAATTGAAAAATTTTATGAGAATTTGCAAGACAGTATCTCATAATTGGATGCTGAATTTCAATCTAAATAAGCAATTCATTTGAAGTAATTTAAATAACTCAAATAGGGTTCTTTAAAATTATGAATCTAATTAATAAGATGCTCAAATTGATATTGCTTAATCACAAGATTAATTGGATAATATTCTGACAAGAAATAAAGAAAATATTGAAAAAAGATTGAAATAAATCTAATAAAATATTAATGATAATAGATCAAATATACAGAGGGACAAATTATAAAGAAATTAATAAAAAGATTAAAATATTGAACATATCCATGAACATTAATAAGCAACAACATCAATAGATGAAGCATTATCTCTTGTATAAGGTTTAAATAATGGTAATATTGCATTTGTTGAAGCACCAATGAAAAAAACTATAGATTATATAAAATAAAAAGTAAATTCAAGAGAAGAATATGCTCCATTAATTGATGCATTGATTAGTTTATCTGGAACTTAAGACACTAAATAAATTAAAGAAATGTTGAATAAATTAAGAAATTAGATTGTAGATTCAATGATTTAATTGACATCAGATGAAAATGATGCTTAAAAAATGTATGAAGAACGTCAAAAATAATTGGAATCAGAATTTTAAGTAAATTATAATTAAAAATTTGATAGGAATTCTAAAATTAAGTGAATTAAGCAACTTATGATTTAGCTTCAATTTCAGGAAGAATTGATTAAGAAAAGGAATTTACAAAGTAAAGATAAAGTGATTTAGATATGTACAATAATTAAATTGGTATTTAAATTATTAATTTAAGAAATGGAGAATAATAATTTTGCTGCAATTACTGGATTATATAATGAAATAAGATCTGTGAGATTAAAGGAATTAAAGATTGCTGAAGATGCTAAAAAGTATTTTATTTTTATTTAAATCCTAATAGTTTTGCTTATTCATCACAATTTAGAGAATTATTATAATCAAAATTGAATAAATGACATTTATATATATATAATAAATCATATTAATGCTGGTTTTGGTTCAGTATTGTAATACTACGGGGATTATAATAAATGAATCGATTTAGAAGGTGTTCTAATTATACTTTATTTCTTTTAAGAAGTTGGTGTTTAAGGTGTTTCACTAATAACTTCATCATATAATTTAGAAAGTTCTTCAAATTATGATTTTAAATTTGATTATTTGAGACGAATCTTTTCAAATAATTGAGGAGATTGAATTATCTAAGAGGTATTATTAGAAAGACTAATTTATTTATGCAACATCTTTATAGATTATGTTTAATCATCAATAATTGATTGCAAATTGAATGTTCTAACTTCATATTATTCTTTTAAATCTTTCAATTATTTATCTTTTTAATCAATCATTTTTTATTACTCTTAAGTGTAAGCTTCAAATTATGTTAATCTATTAATAATTTTATCTTTCTCTAATAGCAAATCATTTAATTCATCAATTTCTATTTTTTAACAGATTTTCAATTTTTATAAAGCAGTTTGTAGTTCTTCTAGCTCTTTTTATTATTGAACATTTTATAACTTTAATTTTTCAATTTCTTAATCTTTTTTTAAGCTTTCTTTATTATCTGAAATAAAATGAGATTGTTATAATTAAGAAAATAGAGAGTGCTGACTCTCATTAACTTCTTCAATTTTACCAAGATTAGATTTTTCAAACTGACTCATTGAATAAGTAAGTTGACTATTTTATACAGCTGATGTATTATATGAGACAGTCTCTTCATCAGGAATAACACTATTTATTTTTTTCTATAATTGAGAGTAAGTCATAAAGTCTCCCTTTTTGATTGGAGATGTATCAGTTATTTTGGTTGGTTGTTAATCATCTATTTCCTCTTCAGAATTAACTTCACTCATTAATAAATTTTAATACTTAAATGAAAAGAGATTTTAAAAAAAACTTTATTTTTTTGCTGTTAAATAATAATTATAAATTTATTAATGTCATAATCTGCTTAAAGCTAGAGATAATAAAGATCAGTAACTAATGTATAAAATGTTTCGTTTGCTGGATCTTAAATTAATAATGTAATTATAAATTTTATAATATTCTAGCCTAAATAACTTGAATCTTCACTTTCTCCATTAAAAAATTAAGATTTTAATAAGCCTAAAACTTAGAGAGTATATAAAACATAGAACATGAATTCAATACCAAAAATGTAAGGAATTCCTACAATGACTGGAATTCCTAATTAATTTACTGTTTAATAAAACTGTGTTGCAGCTCAACCATTATGCATGAATATTATTGTTGTTTCAAAAGAAGAAATTGAAATGCCTTGGAGACTTGAGTGTGAATATTTACAATCTATTATTACAGAGCTACAAAATTCATAATAATAAAGTAAATCTGTATAAATAGTTGAAAAAATAATAACGGATAATTCAAGAGTTGAATTATTAGAAGCTTAAGTAAAAGAATTAAGAAGATAAAATGAATCTTTATAATATGAATTGCATTCATCAAAACTTAATTATGAAAAAGAAATCTAAAATATTAATGGTACATTTTAACTTAGAAGTGCCTAAGTTGAAAATATTGCATAAAAAGAAAATGAATTTTATTTAATCAGGATGGAATTAGAAGAAAAAATATCATCATTGAATAACAAAATTAAGTAATAAGATCAATCCTTACGAAGATCATCAGATGAAAATATTAGATTACAATAAATAATAAGGTAGTTAAATTTTATATTTTTAAGCTCTCGAGAAACTGAAATTAATTCTCTTAGACAATAAATTACATAAGCATCATCTAATAAAAATGAATTAATTAAAATTAGAGACCTTGAATCTTAAATTAGATACTTAAATTCAGAAATTGATACTATTAATGGAAAACTTATTGATTCAAATAATGAAAATTAATAATTAAGAATCTAAATCTAAAATTTAGATTATAAAACAGATTCTAAAAATAATGAACTGATTCTTAAATTAAGAGAATATGAAGGCAGAATCACTATCTTAACATCTGAAATAGAGCGACTTATTTATTCAATTAAATAGAAAGAACTAGAATTAGATGAATGGAAAGCTAGATATTAATAATTAGAAATGTCTGGATCTTCTGTTTTCTAAGAAAAAGTAGAATATCTATCTTAAGAAGTAGAAGTATGGAAATCAAAATTCATAAGAGCAAACCATGAATTCAACAGATGTTAAGAAGAGATTTCAATGTTGTAGGCAGAATTAGAATCATTAAAAAAATAAAGAAAAGTATTATTCCTTTTAATTATTAGTAAGAGTTAACAATTACATCTAGAGTAGTTACAAAATAAGCAACAACTTAAAATAATAGCGGTTATAAATAATACTAATAGTGAATATATTAATAATATTCAATATTAAAAATCAGATTGCTATTCATCTTATATTTAAACATCTGATACATCTGGATGTGGTGACTAGTATGGCCTATCGTTTACTTTTTCGAAACATTTAGATATCTTAGAATTTGCTAATGGTGAAGGATTCATCTAATCTAATTCATCATAAACACTTCGAATAAAGCTATATAATTTTGATTTATTTTTTACTTCTTTAATCCATCTGATGCACTTTATGTTGAGTCAGCTACTAAATTTTCAATAAATTCAATAATATTATTTAAAACTTAATCATTCTCAGCTTTTAAAGCTAATCTAATACTATTTGCAAATATTTTGTCATGATTTTCTATTTATACTTCTGCTTTAAACTATAAATCAAGCAATTATTTAGCTAAATCATTTGCTTAATTTAAAACAGTAGGATCACTCAATCCCAAATAAACATATTCTTTAGTTACTTTTGCTATTTATTCACAAGATTCCATATTCTATATTTTAAAATCTGTATTTTAAAAACACCAATGAAGCAATTCAAAATGACCTAATGGTAAATTTAACAATTTTTATGTATTGAGCTATAATCTATAAATTTAATTATTACCAATTCAACCAAATGTAAAAGTATCTAAAATGAAACTTATTTTACCTATTGAGAATTAATATTTAATCTAAATTTAAAGCTTTTATCAGAAGGAATAAAGAAATCATATTCATCTTATGAATCTTCACTAAATAAAGCCCATTATCTTGATTCTTAGGATATTTCAAGAACAATCTTTACAAATAATTCTAAAAGTATCTTACTATCTCCTAATAAATCTACAATATGAATTAAAGATTAAGTCATTAGAATTTCTGAATCTATAGGTAAAGATGCAATTTCTATTCCTTTTGAAAAATGATTTACTTATGCTTTTAAATCAGAAATAATTCTATCATTTTCAATTGAAAAGAATTTTTATCCTTATTATGGAGATTTAATTAAATTTTAATAATTTGTAGTTTTTATAACTCCACGAATCATTTCACTAAATAATATAACACATAGACAACGATTTTACCACCATCTATTTTTAGCTAAAGCAATAACATGTCTATCAATTTTAACTTAAGAATTTGCTTTTGCAGCATTACATAAAATTGCTAAAGCACTTGAACTTAAAGATGTTGATGAAGAAAGAAAATAAATATATCCATATCGTTTCATATCATTCCACATATCTGATTATTCTTATTCAAATCCTGAAAAAACTGCTAAACATTACATAAAATGTTCTGCTGATAAATTCTATTTCATTGTTTAAATAACTTAATATTTAAACATTGGTTCTTAAAATGAACATATCATTTATATTAGTAATTATTTCTTTTCAAAAAAGACACTTTATTTTATTAAATTACAAATTTCAGGCAAAAAAAATTCTAAGAATAAGGATCTAGTTTTCAATGCATCTTTTTATAATGATCTTGCTCCAAATTAATTGACCAAATCAATACAAACATGAACTCTCTAGGATGGTAAATTTTATATGCATTAAAATGTAAATTTAAAAAATTTCCATACTTCATTTGTATCTTTAAATATGAAATTTATATAAGCTTCTTTTTATGTAATAAGTTCTTAAAAAAATCCATTTACAAAATCTTCAGGATAAATATCAATTAGATCTATAAAACTTTATAATGCAGTAGCATTCTATTTAAATTAAACTGTTTATACAAATTGAGGAAATTATTATCTCTATGTTAAAGCTTCATTTAAAATCTAAATTTTATATTTATTTATATATACATCATAAATGGATTTATCTAATTATTTTTCTCTTGTTGATGTTGTTTCTCTCTTATTTTCATCCATAGGAGTTTTTTAAAATGAATCCTATATCTATCTATCATTATTAGAATTAAGTTTCTCCTGTTATTTTTCTTATTATTATTATTCTTCTTTCAACTTCAATAAACTGCCTTAAACAGGTCTATAACTGATATTTTTGACTTCAATTTAGTAATTTAGATTCTCTAAATTTTGACTTATTGGTTTGCTTGGAACTCTCATAAAATTTGTTCTTTTAGATGAAACTGACAATGGAGCATGTTTTTCAGAAAGCTATTCTTTTTAGAATTAATCTTCCTATTTCTGCTCTTCTTATAATTTCTCAATTCCTTTTTCTTTTAATAAGAATGTCTATGTATTTTAGGTGGATGTGGCAAATTCTTTAGAATTTACATAAGATGCCAAAGGAGGATTTATAACCCTTTTTAATATTAATTAAATACTTTCTTTATGTTAAGAAACTATAAATGCTCACTAAAAAGTTATAAAGTGCATTCCAATCATTATCTATAATCTCTGCAAATCCTTTATGATTTGGAATCACTATGTCATTCTTTTTAAAGAACAGCTCTAATTGTTAATAGTTATTTTGTTTTCTTTCATCCTTTTAAGAATTATCAAAAGAATGCATTTAAACTCTACCAGGATAATAACGTGAAAATATTTCAGCTATTAAAAAACCATTACTCAAATCTCTAAATAAGTTATTTCACTAATTACCTTCTCGGATCTTTTACTGAATAACTCAGATCAAGTCCTTGAATCCATTTGATGATTTCTCTTGGTAATGCTTTTCCTACAGGTTAAAATGTTTAAGTATTTGTATTGGAACTCATAAATTTTATTAATATTTATTATCTAATATTACATGATTTAAGAAAAATATATGTAAAAGAGTTGGATAGTTTTTTATTTCATATATAATAATTTATGTTATATAAAAAATCTTTAAGACAATATAATAAATTTGAATAAGTGTTAAATTAGTAATTATTCATAGATTGTATTATTTAATAACTCTTTGAATTATTTGTTTAGAGATTGGTTTAACTATAAATTCTTTGATTCCTACTTAATTTCCTAGCTCTTTTAATTTATTATCATCATATCCAGATGTAATAAATATTTTCATTTATTAATTTATTTTTAAAATTTATATTGAAGTTTACATACCATTTAAGCCTGGCATTTCCATATCCATAAAAATGGCTTCATAACCTTAACAAGATTCTGAACATTTTTTCTGTTAAAATTTTTCTAATGCATCGGTTCCATTAAAGGCTTTGTCTATTTATGCAATTGAGCTATATTTTTATTATAATTTTATACAATTATTTTATTTGCATTTCTAGTATATCCTAATTGAATACATTATCATCAACAATCAAAATATGCTTACATTCTTTTTTGAAATCTTAAATTTATTCCTTTAAACTTTCTATATCATTATGGATTACTATTTAATATAATTATTTATTTTATGATTTTTTAATATTTAAACGAATATCATCCAAAGAAGGAGAATAATCCTCTTCCAAGTAAATTTAATCTAATTTAACATTTGAGCACTTATGATGCAATTATTAGATTTTTATAATAGTTAGGCTAATTTATTACTTATCAAAAGACCTAATCCAACTCCTTACTCATTTAAATTTTCAGAAAGTCCTTCCTTAATTTTACCAAATGCTTTAAAAAGTTTCGTTAAATTATTTTATGATATTCCAACTCCTGTATCTTCTACTCCAGCATTGACTAATAATCCTTATTAAATAAATTTTATTGAAATAGCTCCTTTTTATGTAAATTTTAGAGCATTTGCAATAAGATTTACTAAAATTTATTTTAATCTATTTCTATCTGTTTTAATTTATAGATCTTTCACATTTGATTCAACATTTAATTTTATATTTTTCAATTCAGCCTAAAGTTTAAACATTTATAAACATTCTTCTCCCAACTAAGTTAAATTAAAAGTTTTTTAAATAAGACTAAATTAATCTGCTTTAATTTATGCCAAATCAAGCAAATCATTAGCTAAATTTAACATATAATATGAGTTTTCTAAAACAATTGATATATTCTAACAAACATAGTCAAAATTGTACAATTTCTCTTTCAATATACTCAATATATTAATTACTACATTAAGTGGCGATCTGAATTCATGACTTACAAAAGATAAAGTTTTAGATTTTGATTAATTAATTTGAAGAAGTTTTTTAATATTCTTTCTATGTATAACATCTCTTGCAATTATGAATAATAAATTTTCACTACCAATTGATATAGTTATTTCTATTGATCTTTTTGAATTCTCAATTTCAAAACTTGTTTCAACAACTAATGTGCTATTATTATCATTACTTTCCTTTCTTAATACTTGTGTTCCATATACATATAACAAACATTTGTATACAGTGTTAATCTAAATAATATTTATGTATATACTTAACTAGTCTATGATCTAAATCTTGTAGCTTGATTCTATTAATTATTTTTTAAACTAATTTGTTAACCTGAAGAAAAATACTTAAAAAAATTTAATTTTGAAGGTTTTAAATATTTTATTTATTGCTAGTTTAGACTTTGTAAGGAACATTAGGAGTCTTTTGTGTAAAGAAGTGATTCATCTGTAAGAATTTCACATGATAACTTTTCAAAAAGCATCATCAAATCATGGTTATTTTTTTGAAAAATCTTTTTACTAATTTAATTCTAATATTCGATTCTAGGCTTTGAGTTAGTATTATTATTTTATTTTTCAAATTTTACTATTATAACTCCTTCAGAAAGTATGTCAAATAATTAACTATAATCTAATTAAGAAAGAGTCGCATTTATTTAAATCTTTTATTATTTATCATTATTAATAAAACTTAAATCTTTTATTAATGTTTTTTTTGGAACTATTTTTTTCTAAGATTAGCGAATTGTTGTATTTTAAATTGTTTCAACTACAGTATCTTATAATCCATTCAAACTTGACAAGTTAGGCTTATTTTTTTATATTCTGTTAAATTAAGGAAGTAAAGATAATAATAGCAGTATATATAATTTTTAATTTACAATGACAATATATTATTAATTGAATTCGTGAGATTAATCATTATTTAAATTTGATTAAGATGAAAAACTCAAAAAAAGTATTATTAAAAAAAATATCCTAATTGCTTTCCATATCTTACTATTTGTTAGACTAATCTTCAAATTTGTCAAATTGTGTAGAATGACTATATAAAAATAATTTTAATAAATATTGTCTGCTCCATACATTATTGATTCGACTTAAAATATAATGATGTCCATTAAAATAAATACAAGTTATAATTCTATTTAAAAAAAGCTTGCCTTTTTAAAACAAATTATTTCTAATGCTATCTATATTAATAAAGTCATCATCAAAAAAGTGATAAATTAATTTTCTAAATTCTAATATTAGATTATCATCCTTATAAATTGAAATACCAAAGAAATAATCATCGAAATTTATAGTTTGCAAGAGCTTGCTTAGTTTGCCTACATAGTTAAATTTAAAATACTTTAATATATATATAAGAAATTAAAATTTATTTTTCCTCTTTATTCATCAAATTCATCTTACAACACTCTAATTGATGTTTGATCAAATTGGAGTGAAAATATAATTTGTTTTGAAATAATAAATTAATTAAAGATAGTTAAGATGCAAATAATTGTATAATTCTTTATTATCCCTCAATAAACTTAATAATTTCTAGAATTGTCTTATAAATTTTTCAGTTATTTTTAAATAACAAGTATTCCTATATGATATTTTTTTCTTGAAGAAAGCTTTAAGTTATAAATTATCAAATTTCATTGTAAATATATTCTATAATTTGTTATTTTTTTTTAGAAAATTATTTATATATTTATTTATTTATTAATCCGAACTTAAGTACAAACTGTAATTTATGTCTAGAACAGTAAGTGAATAATTTTACCTAAACAAATCATACCCTATGAATTAATTTAGATTGTTTGACATTGCAAATTTATGAATATGAAAAAAAATTACAATTTAATAGAAATTATAAATTTTGTTATATTCTAAAGCTATCTCTTACATTGATGTGAAATATATTTAATTTAACATCTTATATCAAGAATTCAAAAGTTTAACCACAAAGTAATTAATCCTTTAATTTGATGATTTTAATGTATTTTTTAATCAAAATAATTTTATTTATTAGAAGTTAGTTTTTCTTATACTTTTAAAATATTACAATAATTTTGAAATTATTATGTATAAATTAATTTAAAACATCTAATAATTGATCAAAAGAGATGTAAATAAACTAGTAAATGTTTAATGTACCTCAAATTACTTCCATTGACATTAAAAAAATAATAAGAATAAATGAAAATTAATTTTAAAAAATAATTAACTAAATTTAAAATAAACTGAAAGACGTTATCCAAACTAGACTAGATAGTATTTTTATTGATAATTTTAAACTTATAAGACATTATTTATTCAATTCAAAATCAATATGGTAAAATATTATTTAGCTCTTTTTTTTACTTTATAAGTTCTGTATTTTTGTTAACCATTTCTCTAACTTTTTTTGATTTTGGATGCTATAAATCCCCTAACTGAAGTGACCAGTTTTATTGATCAATAGGCTAAGGATCATCATTAAAATATGAATATAGTTTATCCTTAATTTAAGATGGCTTAATAGGAAGACTAACTAATTCAGGTTCTGGATTTGGAATTTGATGTTGTCCATTTTATGTTGGCAATTAAGAAACTTATTCCACTTAGTCAAAATCATTTTTAATAAAATCATTGAATTATTACTAAGCTGTTGCTTCTGAAAACTTATCTAAAGCTGGATCAGATCTTATTTCTAATCCTTATTCTAATGTATCTGGTAGAGTTGATTGTTGACTTTAAGATTCTATGTCCAATTTTAAATGTCTAAGTGAAGTACTTTTAGAGATAGCTAAGTTATATTTTGAAGGATCCTATAATTGATTAACATTTAATAAATACTTTAATTCTTTTTAGCATTCTTTATTATACTCTATGATCTTACATTTTAAAATCATCAGCAATAATATTTTCTCTCTTGATTTTTTCATCAATAGCAGCAGTCATCATCTATTAGACTTATTTATTACTATCCATTTATTAAATGAATTATATGTTATTTTTGATTTATTCTTTTTGCACATGTTATTATTAAATTTATTTGGATTCTTATTTGACTTCAGCTCCAAACATTTTATTCACGTAAGGTTTCATTAATAAAGCTTGAATTTTATTTGTAAAAACAGTATATCTTTCAGATTTAACTGAGGAATAATATTCTACAGCTTACTATATTAGTAATTAATATTACACTATATAACTCTAAAAGCTCTTAAATTTCTTCTTTTGAAGCTGCATTTGATTCTACATCTAATTCTAAATTTAAGACTTTCTCCGCAAAATTTTAAGGAAGTTTAGGTTATTGAACTGGCTGTTAAGCTTTATTAAATAACCAAGACATAAAATATAAAATTTAATCAAAGCTTCTAATTGAGTAGTATTTCAATAAATTCTTTTTCTGTAATTTCTCCTTCTGCCTTACATTCTGTTAGAATTTATTACCACAGTTCTTCATCTATACTACCAATCATAAGTTCTAATTCTTCTTTTGATATTTTGCCATCATCATTTGCATCAAATATCTTAAATGCTGCTTTTACTTTTTCTAAAGAAACAAGTTTTTCTTAATTCATTGCTGCCATCAAAAATTCTATAATATAATAATTTAAATTTACCTGAGAAATCTACTTATCCACTTTAATTTAAATCTACAATCTAAAGAATCTTGTTGACTTCTTTAATTGCTAATTCTTTATCTTTTAATACTAATGCATATCCTTCAATCAATTCATCTTTTGATAATATACCATTTTTATCTTAATCCAATGTTTAGAATGTTTTAACTAATTCATCTTATTCTTATTAAGATGTCATTTAACATGCAATATAAGAAAGAACTGCCTAAGTAAAAATAGATTTAGCCTAATAAGATATAAAATATAAAAAAATGTAACTTGGAATTTTTGCAAATTTTGTAAAACTATTTAATTTACTTTTTCATTTAAATTGTGTTTATCAATCCAAGGATCATGTAATGCTTATTTTGCTGAAATTCTTTAATTTGGATTTACTTGAAGCATTTTTGTTATCAAATTTTTAGCTTCTTCTGAGATAAAACCCCAATCTTCCTCTAAACTAAGTTTGAAATATAAATTACAATCAAATTTAAATTTTCCTTCACTCACTTTATGCATTATATCTTTTTCCGTTTTTCCTGTAAACGGTGGATATCCACACAACAATATATATAAAATTACACCACAAGACCAAACATCACATTTTTCATTGTAATCTTATTTTAAAACTTCAGGCGCTATATAATAGGCCTATAATTTAATTATAAAAATTACAGTTCCAAGTTTTTTAGTCATTTTCTTTTCTGTATCGTATTTTCTAGAAGTTCCAAAATCTATTACTTTTAATGGTGAATTAGAAGATTCATTAACAAATAAAATATTTTCAGGTTTTAAGTCTCTATGAACAATTTTTTATTCATGACAATAAACAACTGCAAGTAAGATTTATCTTATAAACTCTGCAGCTTTTTTTTCACTAAAATATGTCATAGATTTAATGCGATCAAATAATTCTCCTCCTGATAAATATTCGGTTATTAAATAGTAGTTCTATTAATCTTAATATAATTCATATAATTTGACAATATGAGGATGATCTAAATTTTTTAATATGTTCATTTCTGCAAATAGTCGTTATTACTCTTCAACAATCAATGAACTTTTTTTTAATTATTTCATTGCTCTAATCATTCCTAAAATTTTCAAATTTAACTACCTGTATTTTTATGAGTAACCTTCCAAACTTTACCGTAGGCTCCTTAACCTAAAACTTCTCCAGTTGTATAATACTTGTGAATACTTCCTTACTTAAGATTCACAAAAACATCAGCTCCTAACTTTACTGTTCCAATTGAGGATACAGTTAATTTTTTTTTAATCCCGTACTTAGGCAACGCTACATTAATATTATATATTACTATCAGCTTTACTTTCTGATTATGCAAATACTTTACATTATTATCCATTCTAATCATCTTTTGGCGTTGCATTTTATGCAGAGTCTGCTATAACTTCAAAATCTTCATATTGTTCCTTTATCTCATTAACATTATCCAAACCAACATATTATTCATTATTTACACTTTTTTTTGATAATGTATGCAAACTCCCTTTCACATCTAAAACTATTTCATTTGTTATTTGTTTTTATGGAAATGAACAACAACATTAAGCTCCCATTTTACAATAAATTTTTTTAATAAATAATTGAAACATCATTATTGTTAATAATTCACCCCATCATAGATTTTCTCAAATATTTCATTGAAAAATTCTTTTTTAATGCATGTTATGCTCTCAGATCCATCTATTTTGCTCTCTAAGTAGTAGTTATTACTTTAGAATTTATCTAAGATTCTCTTCTTAATTAAGTTTATGCATTTTTCTCTATTACTTGATCTTTCCATTCTGTATTTCTTTCATACATTGGTTTTCTTCGGTCAAATATATCTTAAGTCGTTTTAAGAATTTTCGGTGAAAAAGTACATTCAATTAATTCTTATTCAAGTTTCATTGTTTATGAATCAACATTATAAGTACCTTCTTTATTCATATTTTTTGTAGATCGACTCATTTAAGAAATATTTAATCTAGCTGATAGAATACGAGATGTTTATGATAATTAAGGTTGGAAAGTACATTTCTTTTTGAATTCCTCTTCTAATTTTAGAAACAAATAATCTTATTTCTCTTATTTATGCTTTAAAAAATTTATTCCTGATTGATACATATCACTATTTGGACGAACTCTATTTGATTTGATTTCATTTTAACTAATTAATTCAGATTCTGAAAAGTATTTTTATTTGAGACATTTTTGCTTATTCAATGAAGATATTGTATGCTTTTCATGAAAGTTTGATGTTGATAATAAGCTTAAACTAGCTTCATCATATATATTAATATTCATTAATTAAAATATTATATAATACTGTTAATTATTTTATATAAGTAATTTAATAAGATATCACACTGAATTAACTTAACATATCGAAATTTATTTATTTCTGAATGATAAATAGAATAATTTAGTTAAAACAATAATGCCGAAAATATTTATAAAAAGTATAGCAAAAAAAAAGAAATAGTTTATTAATTTGATTATTAAAATCTAATAAGAATAACATTAAATTGATGATAAAAAGCCATTAATTATACTAAGAATATATTTTATTATATTTACTTGTTATTATTTATATAATTAGAGTAAATCATAAGTAAATAGAATTAATTAGTTTGTGCAAATATGATTAAAAAAAGGAATAATTAATTAGGAAAGTAAGGGTCCACATAAATGTATTGATTTAATGGGTTGCTAATATTAGAAGATAGATATAGAATTAATGATAAAAGGGATTACAATTAGTATGAATAAAATTGTCTAACTGATTAATAGCTAAATATTTTATTGATAAATTTAGTAGTAAGTGTATTGAATTAATAACGAATATTTATATTAAAGAAAAAGTTTGGTAGGGGCTAAGAGTGATCAAAGTAGATTTATTAATTAAGATTAATGACGATAGTTTAATATAAATATTTGGTTTCTTAATTGAGCTTTTTTATGAATAATAATATATATTAAATCAAAAAAAAAAAAGAATAAATGACCACTACTCTTCCTTTTATATCGAAGAATAAGAACTAGTAAAGAGTATATATAATAGTAGTGTGGAAATGAAAGCAGTAACTTGGTAAAAGGACTCTCATGGACTATTTGATTATGAAACAAAATCTTTAAGCGTTAAAAAACATAGAGTAGAAGGATCGTGTAAAGTGTGCAGAGAAGGTTTGAAATGTTAATAATACTATAGAGAATGAGATAGTTATTTAAGATGGGAAAAATAAAGATGAAGCACACTCACCTTTGACATCAATATAAGCTCAAGGAGGTAATAATATTAATAAATATTTTATAGACTAATATTTCATACAACCAAATTAAAGCTCAACTGAAAATGAGAATTATTTAATTGTTCGTAGTTTAAAAAATGGTGATGGTGTGTAAAAGGTATTAATAATTAATAGAAGATAGGGTTACACATTACAGGAGGGTGATTTGGTAAAATTAGGCAGAGTAGAATATCATGTGATTGAGATAAGAGATGCTAAAGGATAAATAAGATCAGTGAAAGATGTTTTCTAATCAGAAGCTAAAATAGCTCCACCTTTAGAAGGTGTTGTTACAAAACAATGCAAAATATGTTTAATAGAAGAAGAAACACCTGAAGATCCTTTTATTACACCATGCAAATGTAATGGAAGTTGTGCTTATGTACATTTCAATTGTCTCAAACATTGGCTTGATAGTAGAGGATATAAAAAAGAGTCTGGTAACACAATTTCTTACAAATGGAAAAAGTAATCACAATCAATACTAAAATTGTAGATTGGAGTGTGAGGTTTGTTAGGAATTGCTACCTTAATAAATTAGATTTAAAGGGAAAGTGCTAGATTTAGCAGCATTGGAAAGACCAAATTAACCGTATATTATATTAGAAAATACATAAATATCTGAGAAGGATAAGAAAGCTTAAAGAGGAATATATTTAATAAAAGGGACTCCAGATGATTAAGTTAAATTAGGTCGAGGTCATTAATGTGAAATTCGTATATCAGATATCTCAGTTTCAAGACTTCATGCATTTATCAAATATGAGAAAGGCAATTTTGTTATTATTGACAATAACAGTAAGTTTGGTACTTTAGTTCGATTATCAACACCATATCTTATCTGTATGGATAAAATTGCAATTCAAGTATGTTTTTTTTATCTTAAAGTAAGGTTGGAAGAACAGTGTTGACTTTTGTAATGAAATCTTTTTCAAGTCTGAATGCAAATACTCATGCTGGTATTGCAGCTATTCAAAATGGAGAATAAGGAAGAATGATATTTTAAGCTGGTAATAATAAAACATAAATCATTAATAAACAACTAAAAAAAGATTGAAGAACAACTCCACAAATAATGAATTTTATTTTAAATAAAATCTACAAACACACTATATTATTAATCAATTATAATATCATTCATACCATTTTGAACTTAATTAATATAACATTTAAAGATCATCAAAATGGTTATTTTCTAAAAATATAAACACAATCATATATATATATATATATATATACATTTTTTGTAAATAATCAAACAATGTCAATGAAAGACTTTAAAATTTTATCAAAATTAGGTAAATCTCTTACTAACAATTAAAGGTGATGGTGCTTTTTCTAGTGTTTATAGGGTGAGGAGAATTGAAGATCATCTTGAGTATGCTTTGAAAAAAGTTAATCTTAACAACTTATCTGACAAGGAAAAACAAAATGCATTAAATGAAGTAAGAATTTTGGCCTCTATTCATCATCAAAACATTATAAGTTATAAAGAAGCTTTTCTGGACACACCTACTAATTCCTTATGGTAAATTATGGTTTATTGATATTTCTGTAGCATCATAATGGAACTAGCCTCTGATGGAGACTTATTGTAAAAGATCAAGAAATATATTAAAACTAATAGTTCTTTTAAAGAAGCCGATATTTTTCGATATGCTTTTTAACTATTAAACGCTCTTAAATCTCTACACGATATGAAAGTTATGCATAGAGATATTAAGAGTGCAAATGTTTTCATCATTAATAATGAAGTTAAATTAGGAGATATGAATGTATCTAAAGTTGCAAAACAAGGGTTACTCTATACTTAAACTGGTACACCTTATTATGCCAGTCCTGAAGTGTGGAAAGATCATCCATATGATTGTAAATCTGATATATGGTCATTGGGATGTGTACTTTATGAAATGGCAGCACTCAAATTACCATTCCAAGCTGAAGATATGGATGGACTATTTAAAAAAGTAGTCAAAGGTATTTCATATATTATAATTCAAGGGTTTTATCCAAAATTACCAGTTACTTACTCCTTTGATTTATAAAATCTTATTAGAATGATGTTGCAAGTATCTACTGCTTTAAGACCCACTGCTACTTAACTATTAGAATTACCTTTCTTTCAAAAATATAAATTAAATACCCCAGATTCATCTGCTTAATTATTAAATACCATACTATTTCCAAAAAATAAGAGTTATATTAACATTTTCCCAAAACCTACTTATAAATTCAAAACTGAATCAACTGATAAAAATGATTTAGAACAAGTACATCGAAAAAGATAAGCAACTTTAGGAGGAAATCCATCCATTTTTACTAATCCCACCAGACTATCTTAATATGAAGAAAGCAGTAATATTATATCTTAATTCAGATCATTAATCTTAAGTCCCTATTAAATTAGATAAATTAGATTAAGTTCAATTAAAATCTAATCGTCACTCTCTTGTTAAATTACTATCAGATGGATCTTAGCCTAGATCTTATAGTAAAGTTAATTCAAATAAACTGTTACAGGATAAGATTCGCAAAAGGGTTCCCATTCCTACATTATTAGACAACATGTCTCCAATTCTTTGCAAAAAAAGTATTAGAGCTGGAAATGATTCTAATTCTACAATGCTACCATAAATTTCTTGAATATTTAGTATTTAATAACTAATTTTTAACGAATATATATATAAAATTAAATTGCCAATAATTAATGCAAGAAATTGACTTGTTAAGGTTACATAGAGAAACACTCAAATATATGGAAATTGAAAGTATCTTCAAGCGCTTAACACAAACCTTTATAAATAAAATTTACAATCTTATCAAAGATATTTTTGCAGAAGAGCACAAATTCACCATCTAAGTATATTCATAACTGAAAATAGGAATTATTAAAAATGGCTAACCAAAAAGAAATTCCTCTCAAAGATTTCAAATTGGTCGAGCATTATAAACTAAATTCACAAATATTCAAGACCAATCTCCAAACTATTTTTTCTATTATTATAGATGATCTTTAAAATACATTCAATAAATAAATTATAATTGAAGAAAGATCAATTTTAGAACCACGATAACTTACATAAATTGATGAGGAATCATAAATCTGCTTTACTGAAAATTGTAATGAAATATCTTAAGAATACTCAAAAACACATAGAGATGATATAAAAACTGAAGAAGCTCCTTTAGTTAACCAAGATTTAAAATAAACTTAGAAAATTCCATTAGCCAAATTATTGTCATTTGACAAGATCACTAGTTTATCAGTAGCTAATTCACCAAGACATTCCAGAGAAAATAGTTTAACTAGCCACACATTTAGGTAATCCAACAAACCAATCTAACAACTGATGTTAAATACTAATAATGGATCCAAAAAATAGACAGTGACATAATTAGCCAAAAATAAGAGCTTAGAATTAAAATCAATAGCTGAAACCTTGATAGCTCAAAGTAAGATCAGTCCAAAAGGAAATTAAACTATTATTTTTAATAATTTGATGTCGAAAATGAATAACTTGAAGGAGAATACATAAAAATTATGAAATAAATAACTATATCTATAATGAGTATTATCTTTTTATTTTAATAATTATTTTAATTCCTATATAATCATGATTAAAAGGTATTATAACCATTAAAAATTATTATCATTTTTAATATGCTTAAATTAAGCCAAATCAATTTCTTAATAACTTTCGGACTAATTATCAATCATATTTTTTAAGTTGTCATTATTTCTTTCAATTTGGTATTTCTTATAATACTTATAAATTACTAAATCGTTTACTTTTTTAGTGTTTTTTACATTAAAATTTTCCTCCTCATTCAGGCATCCTAAAGGACAAACCATAATTTCAAACTATTTATATTTATAAGCTATATTTTGAATCCAAAAACACAAGCAAAAATGCAATAACTACTCCATATTTTTATTATTAATTGCAATATAAATAAAATCTCTGTTTTTCTAATATTTTATTTAACTGTCAAATTTGGCATTAAAACCTTTTATATTATATAATCTATGTAATCATTTTAAGATTGTTGAAAGCTGAATTAATTGAGGAATATAATTTGCTTTCTGAATAAAATCCCTAAAAAATTATTAAATTTCCCTATGCGAAGAACTATATTAATATTTTTTAAGGAGTGTTCGAAAAGTTTATTATGAACTCTTAACTCTACTTGTATCATTAATTATAGAATCATCTAAATTCTTTTAAGTGAACGAAGTAATGGAAAAATTTTAGTTAATTGTGAACTCTTAGATTGAGTTATTAGCTATTTTTGTATATTAACTCAAATTATAAATGTGATATTCTCTATTAAAATACTTATTTTAATAGAGAATTGATTTGTAAATTTGATAAATTTAATCCAATAAGAACTTGTATCTGGACTAATTCCGATAGCAGGAGTTTAATATTTCTTATTGGTTTAAACTATAAGTTTGAATTACTATAACTTCTGCTGTTTTGGCATATCCTCTGCAAGTAAGACAGTCTTATAGAGAGACTTTTGCAAGATTATTGTAATTTTTAATCAAATTAGGTTTTAGTCAAATTGAAGGATAATCAAGTTAAAGTCGAAAAAATTTTATGCATTGTTAATTTGGTATACTAAATAAAATAATTAAATAATCTAAATGATGAATTGATTAACAAAAGATAATAAATAATAATTACTAACAGAGGAAATTTTGATTGGAAGATAATAAATAATAATTACTAACAGAGGAAATTTTGATTGGAAAAGAAAACATTGATAATGATATAATTAATTTAAATTATGAATAAAAGCTAGTATGAAATAAAAAAAAGATAATAATTTAAATAGAATTGTTAGATAGGTACAATCTCATTCAGAAATTTTATTAATTGGCTCTTTGATTCCTACAGATAGCTGATAATTGAATAATAATAAATACCACATCCTAGAGCTTATTCTTCACCATTTGGTTTATGATCCATTTTAATAGGGCACTTATCCTTACCAGGACATTTTGGAAGTTTCTCTTTAGGGATTTTGGATACATAATCTCCGTTACATTATCTTTTATGACAATCTTCACAAAAATGTGTTGAACCCCTTAAAGAATATTATAAATATATACCAACAAAACCATACAGCAATTTGGCAACAGAATCTACATTTAAATTCTATATAATCTTTTCCATGAACTTAACATGTTTCTCCAATTGGTACATCACAACAATTAGCACAAATTAATTCTTCTGGTTTATATTGTTTATCTCCTTCCTCCAAACCTCTTTAGCAATCTTTAGCACCTCCAAAATATGGTTATTAGCATTTAAAACATTAATAATAACAATAAATTGCCATAGCATATTCTTAAGGTTTGCCATAATACAATTCCCCTACTTTACTAACCTTTTCATCTTTATCTCTGCTTTCATATTTTAATCTTTCTAATGATTTCTTTTTCACTTCTTAAAAAAGTAGAAAGTATTTATCTATTAAATTTTGTGGCTAAGATTGTTAAAATTACAACCATGAATTACACAGAGGACAAAAACAAAACTTGAAAACTATTCTTGGTCCATTCCATTTTATATCTAATCTCTGTAAAATACAATAATAATGAAAAATCTATAATTAAAGAATTTAATACATGACCGCAATTTGATTAAATAATAGGGGCATTCTTTAAACCTTCTGTAAAACAAATATTGCAATAATCATCTCCTTTTTATTCTCTTTAATTGCATTTATCATCTAAACATGTTGCACATACCTATTCATTTTTGAATCCTGGACAAGAATGTCCACATGGTAATAATTTATTACATGCTAATTAAGCTTTCTCTTGACATTCCTTATTTTAACAAATATCTTATAAGGCTTATGGTACATTAGATTAAACATTATGTATGGGTTAATCACAGTATCTACAACACCTAAAACAATTTTTAAAATTAAAATTCACTTTGATGATTTTTTTATTTTGTATTCTTCACAAGTTAAACCAAGATGATATGGAACTGCTTTACATTCTTTGCATTGTTCTGTTTTACATTTTTGATTAAAACACATAAATCTATTATTTAAATAATGTTCCACATATTTTCTATGAGTAAATCATTTTAATACTATTATAATTATAAATTAGTGACAGGATCTTTCAAAATTGTTATCGAACTTCCCTTCTCAAAAGCACCTTGTTCAGAACAAGCTGAACATTTTACTATATTGAATTGCCTGAATAACATTATCTAAGAATATTAATCGTGTTTTTCTTTACCAATTAATTACTAAACTATATGTAATTATTTTTACTATTAAATCATATTCTATCATTTATTTTCGACAATCTGGATTTGCACATTAAAATTCAGTATTTGTTTTTTAATCTTTTTCTATCTGTTTCATTACACAAGGTCTGCAAATTGGTTTAAGACAATGTTCAAAATATGTTATATAGTCTGTATTAACTTATTTACCACAAACTTCGCATTGTTAATATTTTTGTAATTATTTATAAGGTGCAAAAAAATCATCCTGCACTTATGCTTTGTTTTATACAACTTTTTAATTAATTTGACTAAAAGATGGTTGAATAAATTATAGAATGGGTCCATTATTATTGTTTGAAGGCTTATTGTATACTGATTATGTTAATCTGTTAGTTTCTTGATTTAGCAAAGCATCTACTCTTTCAATGAAAATCTAAAATTCACTTTTTAAAGCAATCAAATGTGGCCTTTACATTTTGTCAAGTTAGATTTGTTCAAATTTTTAGAAAAAGGGTGATGCTTTCCTATAATGTTAGCACCTTTTTATGTGATCTGTCATGCTCTGTTGATTCAATTAAATTAGCTCTTAACAAAAGCAGATAAAATTGTAATGCTAAAAAGAACCAGGATTCATTTTTTGTTGAAGATTATAAAAATTAATTAGAAAATTATGAAAAAATTATCCCTTCTACACTTTTTCATTCTAATTTTTATTTTCCATATTCTATACTAAATGAAAGCACTTTATTTTAGACTTCTATTAAATTACAATAATTTTGTTATACAAAATATATTATTCATTTTCTTATATTAAAACTGATATATATAATAGTAAAGTATGAATATTGTAATATCTTAATAAAGAGCAATAACTTTCCTTAAAAATAAGCTGAAATAATCAATTAACCACAATAACAATAAATATCTTTATTAGAATCAATTAAATATTTAAATCATATTCTAGTTTTCTACTCCAAAGAATAAGCATTCAAATAAATCATTATAAAAGGTTGGTGTATATTTACAAGCTCTTGTGCAATCAGGAGAAAATGTCATTTCTAATAATTTTGGTTAGAAACCATTACTATCAATCATTAAATCCATTCCGTAAACACTTCTATTCTAAAAATATATAGTTGATTATTATATACTTTAGTGTAATTAGCCATATCTGGTTAATGAGTTCTTAGAGCAATAAATAATTCTCTAACCATTTTTTAAATCGATTCATATTATTTTTCCCATGTATGTGGATAATATTCTTTATTGAATTCTTCGATAAATTCATTCATAAATATTTATGTTAATTTATGACCATAATTCATAACAGTAAAATGTGTTTCATAGATAGATAATGTACTAAATTATAATATATGAGTTACTTGACATCTTCTGTATATGGATTGTTTGAAATTCTAATCCAAAATGTTTTATATAAGTAAACACTTAAAGGTTCAATAGATTTAAGAGCAACAATGAAACGCAAGTCAAATTTCCTATTTCTTAATGTAAGTGGTCTTTCAATATATTTTTAGGCTAATTTTGGTCCAGTTTCGATTAATCTTAGGACAACATCTAAATTATTAGTAACAACCATATCCATAGATCTAGCCATATTAGGAGGTTTGATAATCCAAAGATTGTTAAGATGTTATAATTCTCTAGTTTTATATGCTCCCATAAATAATGGTAATTATGTTTATAAATTAAAAGTTTCTTATAACCAAGCTACATCTCCATAAGTACTTTAAACTGTATTGGCTAATTTCTCTTTAGAAATAATAGCATATTCATGAGGATATTAATTAATAAATTTATCTGCATACTTTTGATTGATATCATCATGAACACCAGCACTAAAGAATACTAAATTTGCTTCATCTAAATCCAAAGTGAATGAAACATAAGGCAAAGTAAGATTTTTGGTAATCATTTCTAAATCTGTTATGACTTTGATATTTTCTTAAGGTAAATATTCGATAGGTTTAGCAATAAGTTCAGGTTCAACAATTTTTTAATTCTACAATTTCTTTTTGTATTCCTTATATCCATTTAAGATGAAATCATATGGAATATCAAACCAGACATTCAATCTATAAGAACGAAATTTAATTTCATCAACACCTGGTAAATAATCTCTAAAAACAGGTTATTCATGAATATCTTTAATTGGAAATAGAATACTGTATGCAACAGCATCATCATCAATTTTACCATTTGGTAAATATAAAAATGGTACTACACTTACATTAGGTGTATCTGAATGTTAAATACTAGATCCTAATTCATCCATTAAATACCATACAGCAGATTCATCCATTTAATCACTAGTTAATAATCTATAATTGCCAGCTAATTTGAATAGATTTTGTTTTATCAATTAAATTTCATTTTATTATTCCTTAGCTGGTATGTATGATTCATAACGAATGTCTCTTTAATTTACTAATCTTAAATGTGGAGCAATTGTATTTAATTTATTTGTTTTATGTAATTCAAATAGCACTTCTTCTACTTCAAGATCGCAACTTAAATATTCAACATTTGAAAGCAAACTGAAAAAGCCATTGACTTCTTCTAGATCATTTAATTTAGTATTTTTAATATCCAAAACTCTTAAATTTGGAAACCAATTTGCAATTTATTTAACAGATTTTAATCTTAATACATTTCTTCCTGAAAGATTTAAATAATTAAGGGGTTCTTAACTATTTGCTTTTTTAGTATCGAAATCTGCTGTTACATAACGTATCACCCATTAAGTTGCATTTGATGTAAATGATAGATCAACTAATTCCACTTAAGGGCAATGCTCTTCTATAGAGATTAATAATTGCTCTTTATTTTCAGCTACAGGATTTCCATTGAGCCAAATTGCCTTTATTTATTAATAATTATTAAGAAAGTTTACTACTTCATCTATTGATGCTATATTATTTCCAAAGAAACTAATTGCTTATGTATCTTCTTTTGGTTTAACATCTTTCATTGTTTCTAATGCCATTTCATCAAAATCTTCAGTATTATAATACACCTTTTCTACTTTGAATAAGGGCTGTTTTTTATTTTGATATTTAAGCATATTCTTCAATCTATCAACTTATTTTATAGCAGTATGTAATTCAGTATATCTGAAACTTAAAGCATGATCAATCAAAAACACTTGTTCAAATGCTTTCAAAGGTTTTGTACATTAAAGTACATATGATTCTTATTCTTAATCATCTTCTATTTTAAAATACTCTCCTGCATCATATATTTTCTTTTCCAATTTTGTTTTTAACTTTTCTAATAAATCAACATTAGGTGGAAAATTAATTCCTGCCAATTATACACCATGATTGTTATAAAATACTTCTAGTTCTCCACTTAAATTCTAGAAATTCATCAATTAATTTTTAATCTTAAATAATTTACTATTTAAAAATATATTCATAATTGATAATTCATTATATAAATATAAAATAAGTTAGTCATACTATTTCTTAAATTGATTGTAATTTACCACCATGACAAAATGTTGATTTTATGTTTCTTAAAATTTAACAAAGAGAATTTGTTGTTTCCTTTTTAAATTTATGCATTTTTAATAATTCATATGTTGTTATTCCTGCTACTATTAAATATGTATGGAATATCAACATTCCACCAGAAAACAATAAAAATAAAAACATTATAACAAATATTACTATAAATGCTCCATATTCTTATCCATATCTCTTTTTATCCTTTTCATAATAATCATAATTTGAGAGACCATCTTAACAATACCCCAACAGTAATATCAATACAAAACTCTAAACTAATAAAAATAACCAAAATGATCGTTAATTTAATTCCCCTACACATCCTCCTATCCAAAAACAATGATGATCATATTTTGCTACACATCTTTTACAAACTTTACAATGCTTTGCTCTATTGGGTATATTAAATTTGCATATTTTACAATATCGTTTATTCATTTCTTATTCAACTATTTATAATTCAACATCCTCTTCATTTGTGCTAACTATATATCCAGGATTATTTCCAACTGTAACAAATAAATAGTTTGAATAAACTACTAATATTATAAATGAGAATTATAATCCACCAAAAGGATTTTACATAAAAGCATTTTCTTTGTAAACTATCAAAATTGTCCAACAAATGAAATGCATTGTAAAATAAAATAATCTAGTCATAAATGATGCATCAAATTCATTATTCATAAATTTTGTTTTTTTTTATAATAATTATTTATTTAATATCAATTATTTTTATGACTCACTAAAATTAATCATTCAAATCATACTCATATTTTACTAGAATAAAATATAATGAATTTCTTAATATCAAAATTTATATCTGAAATTCTCTTATAAAAATAATAATCAAATTATATCATTACATTTAATATTTAAATATTAAAAAAAATGACTAAAAATCAAAGTTCCTTCCATTTTTAAGTTACCATAACATCATGATCAATATATGGTTTAATTTATCTGGCTTTGGTTCTGAGAGGTTCTAAATTCATTTTCAAAGTTAATAATTTTGATTCATTAACTGATTTATTTGACATTGGAACATATTTTATTGATCTTTCAAGTAATTTTGCTTATTAATGTTGTTCTTCAATAAAGGATTATGCTCGAAACCTTTAATTGACAACTTAATATAAATGAACTTTCCTTTTAGCTTTTTAATACTCTTTTTCTCTTTGTCGAAACTCTTTTTCTCTGGCTTCTTAATAATCTCTTAATTTTGATAGGTTTTCTGCAATTTATATTCTTCTGTCTAAAAGTATATCTTAAAGATCAAAAGAAGATTGAGACATTGATTTTGAAGGGTTTCTATAGAGAGAATTTTATTATCGTTTGCAATTTGATTTGTTATTAATGGAAAGCATTAAGTTTATTTTTATAATGTATTGAAAATATAAATATTTAATTTTAAGTGATTTGATATCCTAATATTATGATTAATAATCGATTAAAGAAGGAATGGAATCAGATTAATAGAGAGGAAGTATCTATTTTAATAAAAATAAAATTGCATATAATAAATATAATAAATGATATAAAGTTTGAGTAATTTGATTCCTAATGGTTTGGTAAAGAAATATTCTTTCAGACCCCCTAATCCAGCACAATATGTATTTGAATATAGGGATGGGAAATATTAATTTTATCCAATAATAAAAGGAGTAAAGAAACAAATTTTCAGTTATTATTTACGCATAGATTCGTACATACTAAAGAATGATAAACTATATGTTCCTCTCATTCATTTATCAGGGTATGTGTTGATGGAAACATAGTTAAAATACGAAAATTGAAGCATCATCATCAAAGGAATGCTCATTTAATTCAAAATCCTTTTAGGATGAAACAGAGAAGTTAACATAAAGGAGAAGAATGTTAATAATATTTTCTCATGCAAATGCAAGTGATTTGGGCGATGTTTATTCTTTTGGTGAAAGAATAAGTATAGAATATGGAGTAGATTTTATTGCCTATGATTATACAGGTTATGGAATAGGATTTGGATAGTTTAAGATAAGTGAATAGCAAACTTATGAGGATTTATAAAGTGTATTATCATTTGCAATAAATCGATTAAATTACTCTCTCAATTAAATCATATTATGGGGATTTTCAATAGGTTCAGGACCAGCAACTGAAATAGCTACTCGTTTTGGAGGATTGGCAGGTTTAATATTATAGGCACCTATTGCTTCAATATATAATTGGTTTGGAGATGGAGATTATGGAGAATAAGATATATATGTTAATTATAAGAAAATATAATATGTTCGTAGTAATATATTGATTATTCATGGTGATGCTGATAACATTGTTGGTCATTAACATAGTGAAAAACTGTACAATAAATATTTATAATATAATGGAATAGGTAAGATTTAATTGACATTTGTAAAGGATGCTGGACATAATGATTTATAGTTTCATATTGAGAGAGGATTAGATCAATTGGGAGTTTAAATTTAAAATTTCTTTAAATAAAAAGGAGGAGCATTTAGTGAAAAAGAAAATACATTATTAAACCTTTGTTATATTAAAGAGCATATTCCTGGATAGCATATTTATCAATGTAATTCTTTGAGAAAGTTTTCAAGTTAAGAAGAAATTTAGAAAAACAATAGGAAAGCTTTATTTTCTTTATGTACTTGTGAGTGATTTTTATTTATTCTTCTTTTTATATTATAATTTATAATAAATATATTTGTCTGATAACTTCTAATAAAATCTCTAAAAAGAATTTATTTAAATTTGATGATTTGGATAGTATACAAAATCACTTAATCATATTTTGATCAGTTTGAATTTAGAATAATCTTCAAAAATAATTTTAACTTGGAGATTAAATGAGCTGGCGGATTTTTTAATTTACAACTAACAAAAGATTACTTTAGAATTATACTATTTGTTATTCATTTAAACTTAGAAAAATTGGAAATTAAATAGAACAATTTAAGAGAATTTTAAATCTACAATAAGATTTCAACAAATTTCTCTAAGATAATTATTGAATTAGATAGAATATAAAGAAGATTAATTAGATAGAATACAAACAAATATTCTAAATGGCTGAATTTAGAGAAAGACTCTAAATGAAATTAAAGATTTCCTAAATACATCAATAAATATAATGATAAATTATTATCAAGAAGAAGATTTTTAAATTCATCATCAAGATAAAAGAAAAATGAGTTAAAAAAAATAAATTCAAATAATATTATTCAAGTTATTAGATTAAGAATCTTCTATTTATTATTCTGCATATTATATTAATTTAATTTGTTTATTCTTTCTATTTACAATGTGTGATATTTATTCATCTTCAGAAATAAAAGTACGAATTTCCTCACATAGCTATTTAAATAATGAATTGAAATACATCTTATTTAATGCTAGACAATTAATTAATCAAATCTAAAGCTCTATTCATTTCTACATTTAAGAATTTCTAATCCTCAACTAAATTCATTTTTTTTAAATTTTCTTCATCAACTTGATTAAAAAAAGTATCAATTACACTTTCTAGTTATTTGATATTTTTATCTAAGTTGATATTCTCCAATTGAGTTTCTTTTGCTTCTAATTAACATTAATTTAATTAATTATTAATAAGTTTCTGTTCATTAGTTACAGCTTCTAGATTTTCATTAAGTTGTTAATATTAATCATCCAATTAACCTGTTTATTATTATTATATTTCTTATTTCATTTACATTTACTACAAATAATCTCCTTTTTATTTTTATTCTTTGTTAAATATATCAATCATTTTTTTTTATTATAGAACAACTTTTTCTTTTTTTGAAATTTCAAATTCCAAATCTTATCTTGTTTATTCAAGTTCTTTATTTTATTTGAAATACTTATCATATTCTTTTTCTAAGAGTTAATTTTCTTTTTCTAATGAATTCTTTGTTTCAATCATATCCCTCATAGTAGTTTCCAACTATTCTCTCTCATTTTATAATTAATCTTTTTGTAGCATAATTTCNATAGTATACAAAATCACTTAATCATATTTTGATCAGTTTGAATTTAGAATAATCTTCAAAAATAATTTTAACTTGGAGATTAAATGAGCTGGCGGATTTTTTAATTTACAACTAACAAAAGATTACTTTAGAATTATACTATTTGTTATTCATTTAAACTTAGAAAAATTGGAAATTAAATAGAACAATTTAAGAGAATTTTAAATCTACAATAAGATTTCAACAAATTTCTCTAAGATAATTATTGAATTAGATAGAATATAAAGAAGATTAATTAGATAGAATACAAACAAATATTCTAAATGGCTGAATTTAGAGAAAGACTCTAAATGAAATTAAAGATTTCCTAAATACATCAATAAATATAATGATAAATTATTATCAAGAAGAAGATTTTTAAATTCATCATCAAGATAAAAGAAAAATGAGTTAAAAAAAATAAATTCAAATAATATTATTCAAGTTATTAGATTAAGAATCTTCTATTTATTATTCTGCATATTATATTAATTTAATTTGTTTATTCTTTCTATTTACAATGTGTGATATTTATTCATCTTCAGAAATAAAAGTACGAATTTCCTCACATAGCTATTTAAATAATGAATTGAAATACATCTTATTTAATGCTAGACAATTAATTAATCAAATCTAAAGCTCTATTCATTTCTACATTTAAGAATTTCTAATCCTCAACTAAATTCATTTTTTTTAAATTTTCTTCATCAACTTGATTAAAAAAAGTATCAATTACACTTTCTAGTTATTTGATATTTTTATCTAAGTTGATATTCTCCAATTGAGTTTCTTTTGCTTCTAATTAACATTAATTTAATTAATTATTAATAAGTTTCTGTTCATTAGTTACAGCTTCTAGATTTTCATTAAGTTGTTAATATTAATCATCCAATTAACCTGTTTATTATTATTATATTTCTTATTTCATTTACATTTACTACAAATAATCTCCTTTTTATTTTTATTCTTTGTTAAATATATCAATCATTTTTTTTTATTATAGAACAACTTTTTCTTTTTTTGAAATTTCAAATTCCAAATCTTATCTTGTTTATTCAAGTTCTTTATTTTATTTGAAATACTTATCATATTCTTTTTCTAAGAGTTAATTTTCTTTTTCTAATGAATTCTTTGTTTCAATCATATCCCTCATAGTAGTTTCCAACTATTCTCTCTCATTTTATAATTAATCTTTTTGTAGCATAATTTCATTAGTTTCTTTTTTCAATAAAGCTAATTCATTTTATCTAATTTAAGCTAATTCCAACAATTAAGGATTATTGTTAGGTAGTCGTTAATGCAATTATTCTTATAAATAATCCAATTCACTTCTGAGTTGTTTAATTTCATTCAAATCAACTTCAGTTTAAGCTCTTCCAACCTTTTATATCTTCTATAATTCCTCTTAACCTAAGGAATAGGCATTTTCAAGTCGAGATAGTTAATTGTTTAAACTTCCAAAATCTATTTGTCTTTGATGATATTGATACAATTCGCCTTTCAATTAAGCTATAATACCATCTTTTTTTTCACTACTTAATGGTTTTTTGTTAGACATTATTAAAATGTCTGATTAATAAATTAAATCTCTCCAGTGTGCAGCAATAGAAACTTAAGCCTATTATGATGTGTATTGGCAAATACCTTCAAAGTAGGCAGCTGCATATAATATGCTTCTCGATAAATTCAATAGTCTAAAATCTAAAGTGGAGGCTGAATATGATTATGTTCCATTACATCCATAAATATTAGAAATCTTAAACTATTTCGATCAAAGTGAATCTTCTGAAATTCTCTAGATAAAAGAGACTGATCATACTTTATTTTTAGGACCTCCTTCAAGAGATCCTAGTCAACATTATAATAAATGTATTCAAAGAATATGTTCTTAATTACTAAATGAAAATCTCATAGAAGATTTAGTTGATTTAACAATAGAAAAGTAAGTATTTAAAAATCTGAATTACATACTGAAATGTAAAGGTTTAGTATCTATTGGTTTGTAACCAATAACAATTCCAGTGTTAAGTAATTATCCACTCTGGTTTAGTTAAGGATTAATAAAAACACTCGAAGCCTATCAAAATGGAAATCTACAACCATCAGAAATAGATTATCTCACAGAACTTCAAATTAAATTTATTCACTCGAGCATTAAATATAAAGATTCTAAGATAAAATAAAAAAATAGTAATGGAAGTAAAAATGAACAAATTACAGTATCACCATATAATATGCCTAATGTTCGTTATTCTGATATGGATACTTAACAATCCTAATCTCAATAGAACTTTAATTCTTTATAAACCAAATCAAAAACAAAAAGCATATTAGTTTCTAATTGGTTCCATTTTAAGACATATACAAATCTTAGACCAAGAGATACTCCAAGTTAAATTAAAAGACATAAAGCAGTATCATGTTCATAAGTTGATTTACAGGCTCCCTTTAGTCCATAAAAGTAGAGTCCCTTTAATTT